AGAGTTCCTTTTTCTCCACATCCTCGCCAACAATTGTTGTTGCTAGTTGTTTGAAGATGTGCCATTCTCACTGGGGTGAGGTGGTATCTCATTGAATCTTTACACTAAATTTTTAGCCTTATGGGTTGTCTTGAGATCTTTGTTTTAAAATTTCTTTTATCTCATGATACATTTTATTATGCTTTTAAGGCTCTCATGATTAGTGTTTGAGGTGATATGACAATTATGATTATAAAATCAGCTTTCCATTGTGGGAAAGCAATATAAAGAGAAATCTTAAATGTTTTTAACTCTCCTTCTTTATTGCATTGCTAGCTGAGAAGAGAACGAGAACATTTGGAAATGGAACTAGTGAAGGCAGAAATTGAACGATCTACCTATGTTACAGAAGTCAGAGAGGTACTTAGCAGAATTTTTTCAACCTTGCTTCTCAGTTAAAATGAACTATAAAAGAGTTATAAAATATTTCAGTATAAGTTATTTGTGCTGGAATTTCCGAGTACCATACACAACATGAGATATAAGGAGATCAATCTTAAACTCTAAACTTCATTGCAGCTGAAAGATCTGTTGACTGAATTGCAGAAAAAACTTGATGATTCATATTCTGAAGCAGTAAGACAGAATGAAGAGCTAAATTTGGTAAGAAGCTTGTTCTCCACTGAGAATCAAGTAGGCTCTGAAAACACTTATGTCAACATGTGGAGAAACCATCCAAATCTTTTCTCCTTGCTAACATCTTTAGCTTGGCATTTTTATAAGTTTAAGATAATCTTCATATTCTGATGACTCCTTAGGATCATCTTTCTTTTCTTGACTCCTAAGATGATCCTCCTTTCTTCAGCTCCTAACAATGGCATGTTTGACTTGCAATTCTTTTCTCAAAAAATATTTCATGTCTTTAAGATCTAATTTTTGGAATAGTGTTCCTTTCAGTAAACAAAGAAATGAAACTGGTAAAGATTGGCTGAGTTGTGAAGATTAATTTCTCAAAATATAAATAAATGGGTCTCTTATTTTTAACCTGGAAGATCATTAAAGGTTCACAATATATAGGTTTCATTAATGGGCAGTATCCAATGTAGCTTTTAACTGTTTTAACTGGTCTTTTCTATAGATGACACAGATAACAAAAAACTTAGGAAATTCTTTATGATCAACAAAACACTTAAGCCATAGTAATCCTAAAACCACAGACTTAACAGATAAAGTTCTCTAAATATCTTATAAAAACATATTCTGTATCCCCATTCTTAAATTTTCTGGAAATTGTAATGATTGTGACAGATTTAGTTGTTAGACAGTAGTAAATATTTTATTCTATATATCTTTTTTTGTTTTTAAAGATTTATTTATTTGTGCATACAGAACTGGGGTACAGGCCAGAGGCTCAGGGGCGGCGAGAGGCTTCACCAGAGACAGAGTGGGGAGCAGAACAGGCAGATCGACGAAGTACACTGCTGAGGGGAGCAGCGGGCGGGTCAGGAGAGGTCTGCCACACCATGTGGTCACCTCTGGGGCAGGCGGGAATCGAACTCATGCGGAAGCGGCTTTAGCTTCTCAGTGCTGTGCTTTAACCCGCTGCACCACCAGGGAGGGCCTCTATATATCTTTTTTTAAAAAAAGATTTTTATTTATGCATACAAAACTGGGGTGTAAGCCAGACTGGAGGGTGAAATTTACCAGAGATAGAGTGAGGAGCAGAACAGACAGATCTACTGAGATACATCGCCAAGGGGGAAGCAGTGAGTGAGACAGAAGAGGTCTGCTCCCTGGCTGGGCATTGAATTCACACTGCATTGGCTGGTCATAGGTTGATATCCCTGAGACTTTAACCTCTGTGCCACCAGGGAGGCCCCCCTTGTTCTGTGTTTCAAACAATGATCATTACGTCTTTTTGTGACTTAAATTGTTGTAACCTATTACTAGATTTTTTTTTTTTAAGTACCTGAATAAACTTTAGGAAGATAACAGTCAGTCAGTCTTCTTACCCCAAGTTAACTTTGGGATTTTCTTAATAGCAGTACTCTATGCCAAGAAAAATGTCTTATTCAATTATGTTTGGTCTCTGCTATTACAGTGATTTATAGAAATCAAATTAGAACAGGCTTTATGAAATACTCACTAGAGGCCTACACACCACACACATACACATAACTTTATTTTTTAAATAAAATTTGTACTTTATTTCCCTTCATTTTTACCTTAATTGAACTCATTCTTACTGCATTGTATACAGGACTGATATGCATATGCCACAGCTATGTCTTACTCTATGATTGTTTTTAAAAAATAATTTCTAACTGTAATTATTGGATATATTACTTCAAACTTTTGTGCTTGGTAGCTGACTCCCAACAGGAACATGAAACCCATAGATAGGATTATGGTTTAATCTCTTTCCAGCTTGATGTTCTCTATATTTTTTGCCCTTCTACTTCTTCAAGAGGCCATTTTGAGTGTCTACTTTTTTTTCTTGAGTTTGTACCCTTGTTGTCTTTTTGTTTGCTACATGCTACATTGTTTTGTTTTGTTTTGTCTTGTCATGCTACATTTTAAGACAAATTAATATTGTATCATATCCATACTTTGTATTATTGAGTCAAAGGAATGATATCTCTGATGTATTAAAAATCAGAGTTAAGCAAAGAAGAAAAAGCTGAAACATTTGGGTATTTAAATAAAGTTTCCAAATAAAATTCTCAAATGGAATGTGCCCTACTATTTGAAATGTCATTATCTTATATTTTCCCCGTGGTTTCCCTTGTGGTTCTCTAAAACTTTATAATGCTGTATCTGTGAGTGAGAGAGACAAAAACAAAGAATTCAGTAAGAATGTAATTTTTTTGTCAGTATAGCCCATTTCCCTTACTTATATTTCATTAGTAATCAAATATTACATTTAGATATTTATATTTAATATTAATTATATTTATTTACTTATATTTAATGATTACCAAGACATGACATTCTGTATTGACACTAGTTTTATAGAACTTAATAATCTTTTTTTAAGTTGATTATTAAGAAGTATAGGTTAAGACATTTCTTGGGATAATTAGGCTCATGTGTTTTTACACTGATCTCTTTAGTGAAGACTGATTATTAGCATTTAAACTTTTGTAGTTTCCATTTTATGGGTTTATAATGTTTTCATTGTCTTTTGAAATATACAATTGGTTTCTTAACTGAAATATATTAAAAAGAACCTTTGAAAAATGGTCGGTAAAATTTCTGACCACCTTTAAATTCGAATAATTGAACAAATGCTTTATGAATAGTATATAGTAATATTTTTTAAAGGCACATTACTGGAATTTCATGGTTTTGTTTTTACATTTGCAGCTTTCTATTCTAAATCCAGTTTGTTTCTATGGCTTTTCTTCAGTTTAGCTTTACAGATGGGAACCTCCACTGCTTAGCTTTTCTGTACATCTGGTGAAGCATATTGGCTAATCCACTGTGCACAATAACTATTAGTGACCCCATTCTTATTCTTCAGTCCTAGAGGTCTCAGAATAATCAATGCATGATGCAAATTAAGTTATAGTATTTCTTTATTTTCACAGTTAAAGACACTGTTGAATGAAACACTCACAAAACTTAGAATTGAACAAAGTGAAAGACAGAAGGTAGCTGGTGATTTGCATAAGGTAAGACACTACTTATCTTGAAAATGCCATATTGTGCTGCATTGTGCCCTGAATCTTAAGCAAACAAACTGCTAATTCTGGATTTGTTCTTTTTCATCATTATTTTGTTCTTAATTTTAAGCTTGTTGTATACTGATTTACTTTTCAATTTTTAATTCTTCAATTCTTAATTTTCTTACATTTAATTCAATTCTTAATTTGCTTACATTTAATTTTTATAACTAGTCACTTTATAAATACAGATTAAAAATTAAGTAGTATTATGGCTTCTCTTTCTAAAAGATATTTGGTCACATCCAATTTTTAAATTGGGATTTGCTTAATATCATTTTGGAGTATGTTCCTTTTCATCTTTATGAATCTGAAAGATGTCTGAACCTTGGATGTTTTAGAAATTTATTTTTCTGTGTAGAAGGACAGTTAATCTCATCTATATAAATGAGTGACTTTTAGGATTACATTTCTTATTCTTTGCTTGAGGTTATTTATTTGTAACTTTTGTCTTGAGATTTTTATTAATGTAATTCACATCTGCTTTTCAAAGCTGCTTTTGAGATCTGATTGTGTTTAAGGTATAGTCATTTATCAAAACAAATACATCACATTTGTTTTGGTTCTGTGCAAATACAGCTTTTTAATTATTAAGCAAAAACCTAGAATCCAGAATTGATTTAAATTATTTTGGTGTTACTACCAGTAGATAAAATGCAAACTTAGGAAAGTTTGTTTTAGAGCTCAGACTCTAACCGTGGTACATATGTTTAGATATATGATCATGATACATTGTTATATTTGAGCAATCTAGTTTATGTTGATAAGCAGTTTTTATTTTTGACCTCTGGATCAAAATATAAAGCATGCAGTTTTAGCCTATAACTTTAGTTTCTCAGAAGGTACTTTAAAAATACTGAACAGGATCTCAAAGACATGAATATATATGTGGCTAAAGTGGTAACAGTGGCTATCAATAGGTGACAGTGAACTGCATCATAATTGCCTAATAGAAACATGTGCAATAATTGGTTGAAAGTGCTCATAAAAATTTACTAACACGAAAGAGGTTCTTAACAAAATACTTTGTGAAATAGGCTAATATAAAATAGCAAGTATGTTAAAAGCCTATTTGTATAAAATTTTCTGCCAGTTTTAATTTCTTTTTGAGCACATAGATATATAAAGGAGATCTAGACCAGGGGTCAATGAAGCTACAAACTATTTTTGGGGTTTGTGGGTCACATACAATTTCTTTCACCTACCTTTCTTTGTTTAAAATAACTCTTTAAAAATGTAAAAACCTTTCTTTGCTTGTGAGCTATACAAAAATAGGCTGTAGCAGATTTGACTGATTCTTGTAAACTAAGTTAATTATTAAATGGTTACTTCTGCTTTTTATTTAGGAAGCAGTTTTTTGGAGAAAAAATACAAATAGGTCAAATTTACTGTGTTTTAGAAAGAAATTTAATCTTGTACAAAATAAGTAATAAAACCAACTTTTAAAAATTTATCAGCTGTTATTTAGAGTCTAACATGTTGCACTCCTTATAGGCTCAGCAGTCACTGGATCTAATCCAGTCAAAAATAGGAAAAGCTGCTGGAGACACTACTGTTATTGAGAATAGTGATGTTTCCCCAGAAATGGTATGCATTTTCTTTAACTTTTTACCTCTAGGTTAATTTCTTTGTAAATTATATGAAAAATACAAACTGCACAAGATCCATCCATGGCTTTTGTTGAAAGCTTTTGTTGATGTGCTCCCATAAGTTATGTCACATTTCTTAACTGAAGCTCATTGCTTTCCTTTGTTTTCTGGTTGTTTGTTTATTGATTTGATTATCCTATTTCTGAAATGTATTTTTTGTTAATGTTTGTTTCACTTTAGCTTAGGGGGAGCTGTTTATCTGATTTTTACAATTTGTGTTGAGAAATATGGTAATTTGCATACAATTGTAGAGAATATTAGATTGCTTAGGGTTGAATCCTGACCCTGCTTAGTAGCTATGTGACTCTGGCCAGTTCCTTAGCCTTACTGTGTTATTTATAATTGGCCAATCTATAAAAGCCATTGATAATAATACCAACCTCGTAAGATTATTGAAAGGAATAAATGAGTTAATGTATAAAACAATTAGAATAGGATGCAGTACTTAATATTAGTGCCTAACATTTGGTAAGAGCTTAATATGTGTTATTTTTCACTGTTAGGAACTGTCCTTTGGTGTCTGACTATTAATGTTTTCCTGAAAGGAGAAAGTGATTTATATTTGATATTCAAAGTCCATATTTTTCCCATTGTGGCTTAGTGACAGCATTTGTAACATAACTTTATTTTATGCAAACTAACTTGCATCACTATTTATCAAAAAATTTTTCTCCATATGGTTTTGTTATTGTTGCTTTTCATGTCATTTTTCATATTTGTAATGTTTGTGGACAATTGTAAAGCAAGAATAAAATTTTTTGATTTTGGTTATAAATGCTCTCATTTTCTGATATTTGAGGCTGTTTTATCTTGTTTTTAGGAGTCTTCTGAGAAGGAGACAATGTCTTTAAGTCTAAATCAGACTGTAACACAGTTACAACAGCTGCTTCAGGAAGTAAACCAACAGCTTACAAAGGAGAAAGAACACTACTAGGGTTTAGGTAAGACTAATGGAAGTAGTATTAGTGTCCGTTTAGGGGTGATTGACATGGTGTGTATATGTATGTTGTATAATCTGTGTTTAGCATAAACACAGGCATTTTCATTTTCCTAGAAGGAGTCCCTCTTTCAGGACTTCCAGAGGACAGCCTTAGCTTTTTTTGGAGTTTTATTTCCAACTTGTCTATATTATGGTCTTGTACCTTGGGTGATGGGGTTGGTCGAACCCTTTATCTCTGCCTCCTTTGAGTTTTTTGTTTTTGTTTCATGAATCACTCTTGTAACTTGTTTACCTAGGCTTTGTTCATTGCCATACTGCCTCCAAGTGCTTAGTTCTGGTAAAGTATTGATGTGACTTACTTTTTAATGAGTTTGTGCAATAAAATGACTGTAACATCTTTATTGAGGTGGGATATCAATCTGAAAAATAATCGCAACTTCTTTGAATTAGAGCTGGTTTTATTTAAAACGTTTGCTTATGGGTAACTTATGAAGTAAGAATTTTAATTGAGGATAATTAAACTCATCATTAACAAATCTTAGAGTTTTTATTACCCATGTTTTAAAAATATCAGAAAAATCAAGACTTGTTCACATTTAAAAGTGACTTGTAGTCTGCTGGTTAATGCAGAATTACTTATTTTTTGTTAGTAGAGTTTTGCCTAACTTAAGAAGAATCAAGTCTCACTGCCTTGGGAAATTAGGATAGTCTGATACTGAACACTTCAAAAGAACTTCAAAATCTTCTTTTGAGGCTATTCTAAAATAATCATAGTATCCTAGAGATCAGTGACCTGTACAAACTCTAGCGACATTATCCTTTTCAGAACCCATCCTTAAAATTCTGATGACTATGCCAAGGACCAATAAATGGCTAGATACCCTGGTTAACTTGGGTGGATTATACCATTTTGATTCTCACAGGGTATTTTGTCTCACTTTCTAGAGTGATTGCCCTCTGGCCTGCCTTAGCATATGCTCTTCTTTAAAATGATATTTCATGACAGTTAACCTCTAAGAAGATTTTCCAAGTAAACCCAGCTCATTCTTTTAACATGTCAGCAAAAATAACTATTCCTTAATCTTTATTCTTGGTAAGTTGACCTCTTAGTTACCTAGAGCTAAACTTATGCCACATTATACCCCTTCCCATGTTTTCAGTCCCACTGTCTTGGTAACAGTCCTTCTGTTCAGCGTTGACCACATGCTCAAATGTCTTAGTTGAACTTCTACTTCCCTTAGGTTACCACCCCATAGGTGTATGTTTTACTTTACTGTTTAACAGCATCTGCTTTACTTCCTATTAACTCCTCTACCTACTTTAGATGATAGCTCTTTCTGCCATTCCAGGGAACCCATTTTTTGCCAGGAGTCATTAGTGATTTCCTCATTGCTAGATTTAGTTTATGTTCTTTTTTGCAGATAAGATACTGACAGTAGTTATGGAATATACTAAATATGCTAAGGTCAGTCCATAGGCCTTTGTGGTATAAGGACTTATTTCTGAGTTTAAAAGTAATAAGATACCTGTTGCCATTACTTCTAACCTCACCACTGGTGTCTCTAGCATTTCAAAGATGCTTTCTTTTTCTGCCCAAATTCAGGGTCTGCTTCTGTTAAGTCTTATGAATGAATCATTTTTGGTTTACATTTCCACATTTACCTTAATCATACTCAATGTAAGATTTATATTTGTAGTAACACTTTTCCATATACTTTTTTCTTGTTGATTCATAAAAGCATAATAATTTATTCAATTACATACACAGACTCTGGCAATATAGCTAAAACTGAACTGTTTGGCAAGTGGCTCTCCTGTGTAATAACTGGCATTCTTTTATCATCTGGTGAACATAAGTCCAAACTTGGCAAGTGAAAGGGCTGAGTACCAGCAATGTGTCATGAATGACAGGATGAGTGTGTAAAGCTAAGGGCCACCAGGCTTGGAGAACTCTGTGCCTTCCTTGGACTTCCCCAGCATTGAGAGGAAGAGTCCTCCTTCCTACCTTTACTGATCCTTTCATTTCCACAGCTCTGCTTTATGCCCTTTAAATGTGTGTGTTACCAAGAGATTCTTAATATTTTTAGCCATCATTTTTCATCACTATATTACACAGTTGAGTACTCTTTTGAAGCCACTACTGGTGTACTAGATGTAATCTTCAGACTATCAGTAATAACTAATACCTGATGTGAAGAAACTCAGAATTTCTTTGTAGTATGTACTGCAGATACATTTGAATTATTTAAGACAGTGCTGCACATTTTCAGTAAATGAAATCTGACTTGGTAAGCTCATATGAAGTCAGAAAACCTATGTCTGAAACTTAATCGGCAGTAGAGAATTGTAAATTTCAGTGTTTTTGCAGCACTGCTTTTGACCTCAGCTTAATGTCCTCTTGAGTATAGCTAATAAAAATGGATTCCCAGTGTTCTCTTAAATATTTTTTAAAATATTTTAGACCCTACATTGTGTGGTCTGAGGTTTTAGCTCACATTCTTTTAAAATCCACCTAATGCCCTCTTTCTTATGAATCCTGAGGTTTTTCTCTTGATTTTTGTATCATTAGTGTTACTTGCTTTGATCATAGTTAAAAGCTATGTTAGATCAAATGGAATATACTTGTGGTGTTTGACAAATGTCTTTTGATTTCTTTTTATTGTTTTAAAATCAATTTCTTTCTGATCTTTTACAGAGTGAAGCAGTTGGAAAACTGTTCATTCAACAGAAGGCATTGTATTATATTTTGCCAAATTAAAGCCTTATTTATGTTTTCACCCTTTCTACTTTGTCAAAAACACTGAACAAAGTTTTTGTCTTTTCTAATCCTTGTTAGACTACTGATTTAAAGAGAGAAAAAAAAAAGCCAACTCTGTAGACATCATCAGAGTTTAGTTTTGTAATAAAACTGTTTGAATAATTAGACATTTACATTCCTGAAGATAAAATATACATGTAATCTTTTATCTTATTTTGCTCAATAAAATTGTTCAGAAGATCAAAAGTGGTAAAGACAATGTAATATCTAACATTTTATTACTGATGTTGTACACTGTTTTACTTAACATTTTGAGGAGTAACTGCCTCTGACTACAACTCAAGAAAACACTTTTTGTTGCTAATGTAATCGGTTTTTGTAATGGCGTCAGCAAATAAAGGGATGCTTATTATTCAGACTCTATTTTCATTGAGCATTATTATAACACAATTATTAATGCAACCTTCAAACAACATGGGTATGTTGATTATACATCATCTCTGACTGGAGCACTGGATTTTCCGTGTGGTTCTGTGCAATGTAAACTACCCAGAAGTGCTGTGGATTACAGAAAGCACAAGGCATTCGTATATGTCATCCCCACTGTAGTTACAAGAGTACTGTTTTTTGTTTTTTTTTAGGATTTATTTATTTATTCATATAGAACTGGGGTACATGCCAGAGATGCAGAGGGTGAGAGGATTCACCAGAGACAGCTAGGGGAACAGAACAGGCAGATCGATGAAGTACACTGCTGAGGGGGCAGCGGGCGGGTCAGGAGAGGTCTGCCACGCCATGTGGGTCACCTCCGGGGCAGGTGGGAATCGAACTCATGCAGAAGTGGCTTAAGCTTCTTAGTGCAGTGCTTTAACCTGCTGCGCTACCAGGGAGGGTCCCAGGAGTGCTGTTTTATCTTTTTTTAGGTCTTGAAGTTAAAATTCATTTTATTTCTTTCCACATTTTTTTTTTTTTTTTTTTTTTTTAAAACCATTTTTATTTGCAAGGGCTTTTTTTTTATGCATATTACATGTTGGTTTATTGTTTTTATAACATTTATTTTTACATCATTTTGTACATTTTTTTTTTCTCATCTCAGTTGTAATCTCCACGGGTTTCCCATCACCATAGTCCTGTGCACTCCCTGCCACCACCACCCCCCGCCCCCCGCTGTTTTTGGTCCCATTCCCCACTCCACCCCTACAAAATGTCTCTGGTATATGGCTGTTCATTATTCATATTATTTTCTCACCTGGTCCATTATACTCCTGCTATGAGCGAAATCATCCGGTATTTTTCTTTCTCTTTCTGGCCCTTATCTCACTAAGCATGATCTTTTCCAGCTCCATCCAAGTTGCTGCCAAAGATATGTGGGTTTTTTTGATTGCTGAGTAATATTCCAGTGCTGTTTTATTTTTACTATATTTTTTTAAGGAATAATTTTTGTTTCCTTATCAGGGTCTATGTTGTACATTTTATAATGCATGTGTTATGTTGTCGAAAGTTTTTTTTTAAAAAAATATGATTAAAACACTGACCCCTCAGATGCTAAATAGTCATTAACAAAATATTTTGTACCATTCAGTACTAAGCTACCAATTAGACTGTGGCCTCCTTGCTGTTTCTTAAACATAGCCATTATGCTACTGCTAAATGAGCTTTGTTCTTTCTATGTAAAAAATTGTCCTCATTTGGATTTCTGCTTTGGCTTGCTCTGCCATCTTGAAATTGGCTTAAATGTCAGCTTTTTGCAAGGTATTTCTTGATCATCCAATATCCCCACTGCTCCTTCTTATTTCCCTATTTTTTGTAATGTTGATAGTCTTCTATTATGTTTGCTTATTCTCAGTCTTCCCTCCAGAAAATAAATATAAGGGCAAGAATCATTTCTTTTATACTTGATAGCCCTGAGAAAATGCCTGATTGTGTAGGAATAAATGGATGAAACTTTTATAGCTTGAGTGTTATTTAAAATGTAGTTTCCCAACCATTTCACCTCTTAGCATATGAACCAAATGTTATTTTTCAGGTACACAGAGATTAATTGAAAGGGCTGCTTATTGCCAGTAAGACTGGTCCAGGCCTTTCTATTACTCAAGGCCTTAACCTGATTGCTTTCAGCAGACCACTGCAAAATTGATCTGAGACCAGATATTACATCATCAACTCTTCTCATTTTCTTTTGATTTTGTTGCCCATGAATACAATCACATGTGTGTGTGTGAATGGAAAAAAATACCCTACAATCCATTTTATAACCTTTTCTTGTGACACTTTTCTCCCTGCAGAGCATAGTTTCTTAGTATATTTGTATAATTGTACTATTTTTCAGCCTCCCTTTATATTTGAATTTTTAAAAATAGTTTCAAGAGACTCTGAGGACTAGTGTGGTCCATCAATTTGGGCCCTTTCCCTCAGCATCCCCAACTATGCATTCATCCTTTAGCCTGTAAAATGGCAGAATGTCATACAGTGCATATTCCAACTGGGGACAACTGTAACTGGTAATGGGGTGTATATGTAAAAAGTTGTATTTCTGTTACTTGCATCAATTTGTCTTGCTTCCAAACTCCAGAACTACAGAGAAAAACATACCACATACCCATTCATTTCTTAAGATAGTGCTGTAATAGCTCCATGCTCTCTTACATTCCCTCCTCTCTAGGTTAAATATTCTCAGTTCCTTAGTTGTCCTGAATGATAAAAGATCAGATTAGTTACTCATCTCATCCATCTCTATCCACTTTGTTCCCCATTATGTTATAAGCAGAGAACGGGGAGAGGAAAGGAGAATCAAAAGAGAGTGAATCCTATGTTCTCTTTCTCTAGAAGCTCCTCTTACTGCTGTTGTCATCCTTGAGGCAGAAAGCCCTACAATTTGGGAGAGGCTCCTTGTAGGAAAGAGAATGACCACTTAAGTTGGAAGCAGAATTGTGGAGGTTCAAAGAGAATGGAGAAAGGTGGGAGGCAAAGTGGGTGATTGCATGTCAAATGTAATACCCTTCAGGTCTATGTAGCAGAACTAATAAATATCCTGGATGACACCAAAGCAGCTAGGCTTGAAAGCACCTTGCAAGTGTTCACCCCAGTTATGCAGTATGCAACTGGAGTTGCCCACACAGAGTTTGAACCAAGGCCAGGTTTTCCACTTGTAGGCACTGTCATTTGTGGGATGTACCCCAGATGGCATGTATGACAAGCTGTCACCAAGGGAGGGTTGCATTTGCAACTTCCAGTTGAGGAAAAAGATGTGTTTCCCTCATCTAGTTTATCATCTGGTTTCCCAAAGGAGTGAGGAAGAATTAAAGAACAGGTCCCACCTTACAACTAAGGCCATTAACCAAGCCTGAGCTGGGATATGAGTTATTAAACTGGGCTGAACTAGACTGGTTTTAAACAGAGTTACAGATCAGCCATGAAATTTGCTGAGGTTGTGCTTAAGAAGAAGGTGTCACTGAGCTAGGATGACCTTTATGAACATGAGACCAACTTTAGGTTATTCTGCCAACCAGGGTAGACTTCTATACAATTTTTGTCACATTTTCCTAGAAAATTTTGCCATTTCATACTCATTGGCAGAATTCTGATGTAAAACAGTTAACGTATTCCTTATACAACTTACAGTTCCCAGACTTTTTAAAAGCTTACTGTAACACATTAATTCATTTAAGTTTTCCTCAGAGGCCCTCCCTGGTGGCGCAGCGGGTTAAAGCACAGCACTGAGAAAGCCACTTCTGTATGAGTTCAATTCCCACCTGCCCCGGAGGTGATCACATGTCGAGGCAGATCTCTCCTGGCCGGCCGGCTGCTCCCCTCAGCAGTGTACTTTGTCGATCTGCCTGTTCTGCTCCCCACTCTGTCTCTGGTGAAGCCTCTCGCTGCCCCTGAGCCTCTGGCCTGTACCC